AATCAGTTGTTCCATATCTGGTTCTAACTGTTGCTTCTTGGCCCTTATACAGGTTTCTCAAGAGACATGTGAGGTGGTCTGGTACTCCCATCTCTTTAAGGACCTGCCATAGTTTGTTGTGATCCACACAGTCAAAAGCTTTAGCATAGTCAATGAAGCAGAAGTTTTTCTGGTACTCTCTTGCTTTCTCCATAATCCAGCGGATGTTGGCAATTTGATCTCTAGTTCCTCTACCTCTTCGAAACCCAGCTTGTACTTCTGGCAGTTCTGGATGTTATATGGGGCCTGTTTGCCCTGTGGTTGGCCTTCCAGAGGAGCTGGCGGTCACTGTGTTCTTTTCACTCTGTTCTTTTCACTCTCCCTTGGTCTCCTCTGTCTGTAGAAATCTAGATTGTAAACACCTGGGCCTCTCTTTGCCATAGGGACATTGGGCTGCTTGCTTGTTCCCTTGGGGTCATGTTGCTTTCCCCCCATAGGTAACCTGGGGTGGAGGGGCAGTGTTCCCTCTAAGCTGAGTGAGTGTGAGCTAGCTCACAGTTTTCTAGCCTCCGGCTCACACATTTTTGTCTCCGCTCAGGAAGGAGGGCTCCAGAGCAAACTAATCTATGCAGTCTCCAAATCGCCCGCTCACAACTTTAATGTAGGTAGTTCACAAAGTAGAATTTTTGCTCACAGGACTCCATAGCTTAGAAGGAGCATTTGGAGGGGAATAGCAGTTCTTCTGTCTTGCCACAATGCTAGACACAAGGCAACTAGGCTGGGATCTCTAGCTAAAAAAAGCAGGACCAAGTCTTGTTTTCTGTCCAGGCAGCCAGCACTGTAACATCTGCATAGGGTCGCCAATCTCCAGGTGGGGCCTGGAGATCTCCCAGAATCACAACTGACAGAGATCAGTTCCCCTGGAGAAAACGGATGCTTTGGAGGGTGGACTCTGTGCCACTGTACCCACCTGAGGTCCCTCCCCTCCCAAGCCCCGCCCTATCCAGGCTCCACCCACAAATCTCCACTTATTTCTCAAACCAGAGTTGGGAACCTTCCATCCCCATCCTAGGCAGAAGTCAAAACTCAGCAGGTGAAGCATTCCTGTAGGCTGGAGGAAGGGAGAGGAACTTCTGTTTCACTTTCAGTTTAGTTTATTGTAATTAGCCATTGGCCGTTACAAAATTACAGCGCACAAAGCTATAGGTTAGGGTCAGAATATACAAAAATTCCAAAGATCAAACTTCTGCTTTTTGTGTGGATTTTAGAGGCCCTGAAGTTAGGGTTGCCCGCTCTGGGTTGGGATTTACCTGGAGATTTGGGGGGGGGGGTTGGGAAGGGGAGAGACGTTAGCAGAGTGTAATGCCCTGGAGCCCAGAGTATAATGCCCTGGAGAGCCAGTTTGGTGTCATGGTGAAGTGCACAGACTCTAATTTGGGAGAACCGGGTTTGATTCTCCACTCTTCCACTTGCAGCTGCTGGATGACCTTGGGCAAGCCGTAGTTCTGATAAGAGCTGTTCTTGAAAAAGGGCAGTTTCTGTCAAGAGCTCTCTCCGCCCCGCCTCCCTGTTGTGGGGAGGGGAAGGGAAAAGAGATTGTAGGCCGCTCTGAGACTCCTTTGGGTAGTGAAGGGCAGGGTATAAATTCAATCTCTTCTTCTTCTTCAAAGCAGCCATTTTCTCCAGGGGAACGGATTTCTGTAGACCGGAGATCCATTGTGATCCTAGGAGATCTCCAGCCAACACCCGAAGGCTAAAGCCAAAAGTGAGTGATCACGGGAGGAGGTGGAAGTCCAAATGAAACATCCGTGACAAAAATAACGAAGTGTCAATAAAGATATATACGCGAAATTGTTTACTATAATAATTATAATCCCGTGGAAAACTCTCTTCTTTTATCGCTCACACCCATCGAATTTCGCGCAATAAAAATATCAGTTTCACAGGGATTGCTTTATTTGAGCATGTAGTGATTACAATTCTGATCAATTTCCACTTACCAGCTCTTGAAATAAACATCCTATGTTGACTCTCTTTAGCTTGGAGAAACGACGGCTGAGGGGTGACATGATCGAGGTTTATAAGATTATGCCGGGGATGGAGCAGGTAGAGAAAGAAGTACTTTTCTCCCTTTCTCATAATACAAGAACTCGTGGGCAGCTACAAGAATGGACGGCTTCAAGCTGTCTGCCCTGCTGCCATGGGGGTGGGGAGGTTGGTTGTCTTCTAATTGCCTTTGCATTCCTTCTGTGCTTCTTTGCTGCTACAACGCTTATCCCTAAGTATTGCAGGTGGGGATGTTGATGTCTGGTTTTCTTGGGGACCGTGGGAGAGTGTTTCGTTTGCAGCTTCAGCACTAAACGGCCGAAGCTCTTTCTCCCGCGCGCAGGAGGGTGGCTGATTGGCCAGGGCAAACGGGGGGTGCATACGAATACCCTATGTCCTATTATGCCCCAGGGGCAGCCGTCATTCTTAACAGTGCCTATGTTAATGCATCTATAGCTCTTCAATAAAGTATTACCTTTCCTGAAAGCGTGTACTACGTTGTTGGCTGTGGGTTCTGACACAAGCTGAAGCTTAAATACTTTGGCCACCCAATGAGAAGGGAGCCCTCACTGGAGAAGACCCTGATGCTGGGAAAGACTGAAGGTCAAAGAAGACGGGGACGGCAAAGGATGAGATGTTTAGACAATGTTGTTGATGCAATGAACATGAAGTTAAGCAAACTCCGGAGCACAACGGAAGACAGGAGGACCTGGCATGATGTGGTCCATGGGGTTGCGAAGAGTCGGACTCGACTGTGTGACTGAACAACAACAATGGAGCAGAGATCCATTAGTGGTTATTAGCCACAAGGTATAGATAGGAACTCTCGGTCTGGGGCAAGGGATGCTTGGTCTTCTTGGTGCTTAAGGGGGGGCAACAGTGGGGGGGCTTCTAGTGTCCTGGCCCCACTGCTGGACCTCCTGTTGGCACCTGGTATTTCTGGCCACTGTGTGACACACAGTGTTGGACTGGATGG